GATTCCTGATAAATACCAGGTTTTGTAGCTTTGAGATGTGCAGGAAGAAATTTACGGTCTTTGTTTATTAGCACATTTTGTTTAACAGAAAATTTGTTTCTATACTGCTACACATGTCATTTCAGACTTCAGCCAGAATGAATTTTTCCAGTGACGGAGCAGGGCAAAACTAGCTGTTTCTGACCATTTGGATAACTTTCTTTCGCAATCTTTGACATTTTGTTGATGAAAGTGTGCATTTTTACCCCTTTGAAGACCGACTTTGTAGTTCATGAGCTTTCAAGGTGATGCTTGAAACTAATTTTGTTGAAGTTAAGGTTGCTCAATACTTTGTGAGAGTTATAACAGTCTCACAAGTGGACATGAATGCACAGTAGAAAACTGGGAATAAAGTACAGGAAAACCAAATTATTTTGAAGTGTCACGTATTTCTGGTTTTAGATCTCAATACAAAAACAGTAAAGATGATTCCACAGATCCCAGAAGAAATGTGTGCTGCCCTAAATATTAAAAAAGATTTTTTTGCAAATGAAGAGATATTTGCACTTCAGGGTTGCTCTTTCTTTTTAAATAATTATTTTTTCCATGCTGCTTTGAGCAGCTGCGTTCAATGCTTATCTTAGTTATGTTTATATTGGGTGCAGTTGAAACCCATTTAAAACCAATAATTAAACAATTAAAGTACTCCCATAGTATGGTTTTCCAGTAACTTAGATGCATAGAATCAATTAAGTTGAGTGGTTTTCCCCACACTGGCACCGCCTTTTTAAGTAGTATAGCATGCTTTTGATTCATTCAGTATTGGTTTTCCTTCCTCTATCCTTAGAGAAATCTCAATGTAAGAGAAAATTAAATGATTTCTCAGTGGTTCTGTTTAACTGATACGCTTCAAGGTATCTGTTACACTGAGATGCAGAAAATTACATCTCTCATCTGTAGATACAGATTTAGGTAAAGGTATCTGAACTAGAATAAGAATTTTACATAGACTAATCCTTTTCTTTAAAAAAAATGTAGCTAAAGTAGTTTTTTTTCAGTATACAGTGAGCCAAATTCTGCCCCTGCATATCTCTTTGGAAGTTCCTATGACTCCTTTTCTAGTGAGAATAGAGCTTGGTTTTAAATAATTAAGAAGGGCAGAAATCTCTGACATCTGATGTCAAGAGTAAGGGAAAATCTTCTTTCTGAAGATGAATTCCCTGAACTAAAATCACCATCTCAACCTTGTTTTAATCAAAGCATTTATTATTTTAAGCTGCAGGGTGAAGTTATCTGCCTTTCACTGCCAGCAACATCAATTATCTGAACTTGTGGCCTCTTACCACGTGTGCTCGTGTCATCCAAACTGCATCAGATGTCTCTCAAATGTGTTAGAGTATGTGTAAAACTTGGTTTGCTTCATTTCGTTATTTCCTATGAAGACTAGTATTTCCAGAAGTTTTCCAAGCTGGTTCACAACTGACACCCAGCTAGCAATGACTCTGCATCCTTTAGAATGGCTGCAGTTCTTGTGTACTTTAAAAGAAACTTAAGCCATTCAGGTAAGATTGAATGGAAAGACAACAATTCTTGTCTTTGGAAAGGCTTTGCATTTTTTTTTACTATGTAATATGATCTGTTCTGTTAGCTTTTTGAAATGAAGCAGTTGAACCTTTTATGGGAAGTGGTGCAAAAAAGTTTACCTGGAGTTAAGATGGAGAAAAATCCTTTCCTAAAAAGATTTTAAAAGTCCTTTGCATAGGTTCAGTTTTCCTGGGAGAAAATGCATAGGGATTAAAATTTAAAGAAATATAAATGTCAGAAAGTGTGGAAAATACAATTTGTCTCTAAGATTAATTTATTGAATAAGAAAATCACTTAAACTGTTTCTCTCCTGTTGCATGCAACATTATTTCTGATGTAACAGTACCCAGAGATTCTGGTCAATGTCATAGCCCTTTGTGGATTTTACATAGATATTAGTCCTTTGCTCTTAAATGTTAGTCATCACTTTACTTTCATAAAGAGTATTCAAAACTGTCAAAGCACTTAATAGTTAAATCTCATAATAAGTCTCTGGAAAAAGTGTGTAAACCTAATTATAAAACAAGACAGTAACTGATGTGGAGACTATCTTAAGCATGTCTGCTATTGTGTTATTTCCTGCAACCAGACAATCATGTAGATGTTAAATTATTTAGTATTAGTCTGTTGCCATATGCGTTCCTAAATGATCAATGCATTTATTTGTTTATTTATTTGTTTGTTTATTCTTTTTACAATAGGTCAGCTCTTTTCTAAGAAACTGCTTAAAACAGAAAAATTAAGGTGTAAGCCCTGAAACAGAATACAGAAAATATTGTAGGAAAAGTTCCTCTGGCTCCTGTCAGGAGAGTAGATATTTCTGGTTGTACTCTTCAGACTTTGCCCTCTTAATACTTTACCTGTTTTACTTTTTTTAGTTTTGCCATCATCTCTTCCTCTTCATCTGGGTTTTCATTTCCCTTCATTTTCCAAGTAGTTTGCATTGAAATGCTGCATGTATGTCCTGCTATGTTCACCTCTTTGTTGTGTCTCAGTCAAAAAGAATTGCCAAGTCTTTTGTACATGGGTGTATTATTTTTCCTAATGGCTAGAATATTTCTGAATGTTGGTGAATAAGCCTTAAAGCCAAATATGCTGAAAGATCACAAAGATTGGATAACATGTCAAGCATTCACTGAATAGTGGACTTTCTCTTATGAATTACAAATTAATCCCTTTCTCAAATAAAGTACATGTGCAAGTACGCATTTATACTAATTGCTGCTTTCTTCATTTACAGATGCAGAGCCACGGTATTTGGTTTCAGTAAGACCAGCACGCGTTTCAAATAACAAGAAATCTTGTTCAGGTATTTTACCATTACTGCATCTCTTTCTTAAAGTAGTTAAAGGAAGACAAAATCTTTTACTGGATTTCTCTGGAAAGGTATTTGTAACTGTAGATGTCTGAATGGGATGCACAAATTTTATATGTGGGAAGGTAAAATGTAGGGCAGTATTTCCTAGTCAGTAATTAGTCACACATATGAAGTTCAAAACATGAATAAATACCTAAAGATTGTGCTTGTAAAAAGTTCTTACAAATTTAGAATACTAATTTTTGATGTTTGAAGAGGACAAAAATGCATGCAAAAAAAGTGGAAGTTTTGAAATACAGTGATCTGGTGTATTGAAGTTACTCTTCCTAAACTACCAGGAAGGATTCCTTCATCCATGGACATGTTAATGCTCTTTGTTTCTCATTAAAAATGGTAACTTGTGTGTGAGTATGTATATGTATCTGTAAATCAGTACTACTGCTAGTTTGCTAATGCAAGGAGTTAAGGAAAGAGGGATGTTTCTAGCTTAAACTATACATAGCAAAACAGAAATCTGAATTCGATTCTTGTCTATTCCAAAGACATTCTGTATGACCTTAATCATGTCATTAATACTGTTAATTTTTAATTCCTTACTTTAATATGGAGATGACGCTCAGGATCACTGGACTGTTGCAGTTGTAGTATATGTGTATGTGTTTGTAGTACGATTTTTTTTCTAATTCCTGGTAACTGCTTGGGATTATTTTCTTCTTGCTCTTGGCCAGATGTAAAACAATATGTCTAGAAAGATTTTGAAAAGTGATTTACCTTTCAGATGCAATATATATATATATGTGTGTATGTATATGTATATATGTGTGTATATATATATAAAAACACAAAACAAAAAAAAATGCCCAATGCAGTATTTGGACATCATTAAGTTTTGTATGTACAGTCTACGGAAACTAATTTGTGGAACGAGATTTGGAATTGAATTTTCAGTCCAGCAGACAAAGGTGTAAAAACAGCTATTGGTTTAGGGCTAGCTAGATATACGAAAGTCTTTTTAGTACTGAGAATAGTTAAACTGGACACGTTACCAAGAATTGTGGTAGAGTCTGAGTCGCTGTGATTTTAAATTTACAAATGAATACTGATTACATTTATAGAAGATACAGTGTAGTTCAAACTGCAATTAATACAGAGGAGTTGTATGGTTTGTATTCATATACATCAACATAGATGATCACCAAGGTAATTCCTGGTTTTACGGTGTATAAATCATTGCAGTCTCTAAATGGAAACTAATGACATAATAAAAGTCATAATCAAAATCATATGTAGGTCCTCCCAAAAACCAGTATGATTTCAAGTTATATGAGAGCTTGTTTTTTCTTTTACTTAAAATGCACGTATTTTCCATGTTTCCTCAAAAAGTGATCAAGAAATGGATTTTGCTATAGATAGTAGATTTGCCAGATAGTCTGGTCAATGGTCAAGCTGTTTGTTTTAAGTTTTTCTTTAAAAATGGAGACAGAGTGTAGGAACCGGTTCAGAAAACAAGAAAATCATTTGGACATTTGCCCTTGTGGAAGTATCATATGTTCCACAGTATTTCAAAGCGTGTCATACTTCCTCTTGCGGGTAGAGAGAATATTTTTGTTTGTTTGGGGGGGTTTTGTGGCAACATATTCATTATCGATATATAGTAAAAACCCACACAGTTAATGTTTCTAAATGAACACACATACATTGGTTGAAAGTACAAATCGGCCTTTGATTTGGGCTTGTTAAGTGAAGAGATAGTAGAGTTCAAAAGGCATGAGAAGAAAGTTAGTCAGATCTGTTTCACAACAGTGAAAAATACAACATTTACATCAGTGGCTTATAAACTTTTGAGGAATTTGTGGTCACCTGTATGTTTTGTGGAGGTACAGATCCTTTAGATTCTTGAAGTATGCAATGTGATGTAAAGAATATATGAATTTCCTTTAATTAATCATCTTAAAACACCAAAGGTTCTCCTTGGGCTTGTAGCAATCCACAAACTACAGGTTCAAAATAGTTGCTCTAGATCGTCTCTTCATTTCCAACTATTAGCTTTTAAACTTAATTTTAAAAAGTCCTTTCTCTACGTGAGAGTTGTGATACTTCATTCAGAACAAAGTTAAAATTAAGTATAATGCAAAAGCTGAACATTTCAAACCTAATACATAGCTAAAAGAGAAAAATGCCCCCAGATACAGACACCAACTCAGATCTGCCTACAGTTAAAAGCAACAGAATTTTTGTAGGTTTTAATTTACGCTTGATGAAGAAATATGTAGAAAGTAGGAATTATCTATGGACATAATTACAGTGTTACCGAGAATCCTGCCAAGAAGTTACTATTTCTGTCACACACAGAGAGACTTCCTACTGTCCTGAACATTGTGTAACACCTTCTGTGATGTAGTCCAAGACAGCCAGACCTTTGAAGTTAATCTGCTTATAGCTTATTCTCATACTGAGCATATCAAACCCACACTGTGCATTTTCAAAAACTAGGTTTAACTGGAGCATAGGCTGAAAAAAGAGAAATAAAGAAAACTTATAATAAGGCAAAACTGAAACAAAGTTTAGTAAACAAATCTCTTTCGTACTGACCAAATAACAACAAGAATTCCTTTAGGTTTACCCTGGATCTGCAAGTCTGGAAGTGAAATCTTCCGGTTTCTTCCTGGGTTGAAATGCATGCTGTGCAAGATCAGAGGGGACCTAAAGTAGTCTTTCTGTGGCTTGTGTGTCTGCTACCTGCTTTCTCAAGCAGTCTCCTAATTTGTGCTCCTGCTCCCTGCTAGCTGCATCCTCCCTTTCTTTATGCCAACTTTGTTCTGCACATCTTTCCTCTATTCATGCTCAGCTGGCTTCAGAGAAGGAGCAGTCTCCCTTCCTTGCACGTTTCACTTACCTCAACAAGAAACCAACAAACATCACAGACACTGTCTCTGCCCTCTTTTTTAAATCGTACATTAGAAATGGTGACCGTAAAAAGGAGAGACAACTGTTGTACCTTTCCTTTCAAATTTAGAAGAGAAGTAGGTCTTCATTTACTTCATTATCCAACTGTAAAAACTTTCCCCTACACAATTCAAGAGAGAGAAACTAACATGTAATTGGAATTATATGTTTCTTATGTAGGTCGGACCAAGACTCAAAAGCCTTTGCAGCTGGTAGTTGGCACTCTCACCCCAACCTCTGTGTTCCTCTCTTGGGGCATCCTAGTCAACCCTCAACATGACTGGACAGCAACAAGTAACTGTGCTAGTGACAGGTAATATAACAGAAACCTTTTTTTATTATGAACATGATTTAATTCAGTGTAGTTATCTGCTGTGGCTGAAATAAGTTTGACAGTGGAAATTAAATAGTTGGAAGTAATAGTTCTGAGTGTGAGACAAGTTTTCTCATTTACTTAAATTAGTGCTTCACAAGCCTTTACTTGTCTTGTATGCAAATTTAGTCAGATGTCTACATGCTAAAGTACACATCTTGGTATTTCACACTACATCCTTTGTTCTTCTTAAACCAATGGCCTTGGCTCTACCTTCGTTTCTATCTGAATGAATGGAAAGAAACTTTGTTAAATCAGAAATATGTTGGCTTGAAGTTGGTAAGTAGAAGTAAAATCAAGTCTTTTGCTGTGCTGTGGTAGGGGAATGATATTTTAATGGTATTTGATTTTTGTTTCCTGTGTTTGATCTTATCACTAAACTACTTTCCTGATACTGATACAGTACAACTTTCATTAATTTTCTGTTGTAAGTAAAAGAAGATCTACTATAACATTTTTGTTTTGCTGTAATTATTTAATGAGTGGCAAAGTAAGAAGAGAACTCAGGAAGACTCGCCAAGTAGCAGTTTCAAGAGAAGTCATAGTGCTGGGTAGCTTTTCAGTTAAGTGCACCATTACATTTTAGGCAACTCTTGGCAGATGAGTAAAATTCAGCTGCTGCAGTTATTTAAATTGTTAATACAGATGTTTTCCAGGCTCTGTCATTTTGGTTTTCTCTTTATATTCTTCCTTTTACGACAGAAGAATTTTTTGTCTTCATTTACATCATGTGAAACTCCATTCAACTCAGCAGTGCTTTGTAAAACAAAAAGCAGCTTAGCGCACCCATGTTTGGGATGCATCTACATCTGGTTTGCAGTTATCATCTTTTGTTTTTTTAAATGCATCTTTGCATTATTGAGAACACTTCTCTATCTGTTTAATTTTTGTCTATTTTGTAGCTGTCTAATTTAGACTTGAATCTGCTTACTTTAGTGTTGATAGTAAAACTCCCATTGATACCATTAAACTGGATGTCAAACATTGATTATGTTAAAAAACCCATTCCATGTAGCAAATACAACCTTTTTCTTACCTCCCGAAAGTTTTGGACTAACCCTTTTCAAGCTTCAAAAATTTCTCATGAACAAAATTGGATCTTTATCACCAACCAGAATTTCAAACACCATTGAAAAAGAAATGTTAATGTTTATTAGGAAATTGTTATGGAATATTAGGCTTAAAATTTGCTCTCTCGGTCAAGAAAGAAGCAAATAGTTTCCTACAGTCAGAAATTGAAGAAACGAGCTTATCATGGAGGAGCCTGTAAAGTATTCTGCCCAGCTAATGATTTTAGCACCATTTTTGCCATGGAACTTACCTTCTGTATGTGCTGTGTCAGCACCAAAGTCACAGCACCCATTGTGCAGTAGGAAGGAAGAACACTTTCAAAGAAGTGTCTGTCCTGTATTAATCCACCTGGAGATTCAAGGCATATGGTACCCACCACAATGCCTTCATCAGCTTTGGGTTTTTTCCTCAGTAACCGAATATTCTTGTTGGACATTCATTGATTCAGTTTGAACAAATTCTTTAACATAGTATGCAATGTTTTCCACTTAGTGCAGTGCTGCTGGTGTCTTGCTATGTTTAGAACATATTCTATATGTTTGCTACTCTAGTGTGAGAGACTTGCTTTTACCATGTCTTTGTGTCAAGTAATGGCATGCATCTCCCAAAATTCTGGTTCTTCAGTTAAGTGTTGTTTAGTCCAGTTAGCTGATTTCTCTCAGGTGTTTACTTTTAATATGCCCTCCATTTTAGTTAAATGTTGTCAGGCTGTACTGAAGAACCACTTATGTATTTCTCTTTTGCCCCATAAGAGGACTTGACTGTAAGAGTTGTATTGTTCATTTTGTTTTAATATCTCCCTGTAATTCAACTCTATAGATACACTGACACTCATGAGTAGCTAGTTTAAAAACATTTAAATCAAATTACAAGCAGTCCTATCAAAGTATATAGGTATAGGGTATATACCTATTTTGCAGTCAAGCATAGCAATAAAGTTAATGAAGAAAAAGTAAGTGGTGCTCTTATTTTGTTTACCTTTACTGGACGAAAATATTTGTGACTTGTATAAATGATGAGAACAATTTCTGCATGACCATGGTGTGTTATTTCTATAATTCCAAGCAGAGATTGGATTCAAATATATTTCTAGTCAGTGTATAGAAGAAAAAAAATTAATTTATTATAATAAATTGAATTATATTTGATAATGTATGATAAGAACAAATTAAGAAATAGCCCATCCTTAACAAGTTAGCATCGTGTTAAAAGTACAAGACTTAAATTCAAATAACAGATTCATCAATATTTCTATCTGTTGCAGTGGAAGTCTACTTCACTTACTTGATCCTTTTTCATCTGGCATGTTCTCCTTACAGTGATATGTTGAAATGTACTGTTAATCATCCTCAAGAATTGTGTAGTGACTAACCTCTAATCTTTGACATTGGCAGTATGTGGCAATTATGACCTCTTAACCGAGTTCTGTCAGTTGATATCCCACCAAGTTTTGGATTTGTAACTCTGTATGACCTGAAATGGAGTCACTGTTCTCAGCCTCAGATTTTACCATCTCTGGATGGATGTTAGGCTTTTGTACAAATGTTGCATAATATAAGTTAGTTGAATATGTTACTGACTCAGAAGATGAAAACCATATGGAACAGCATGGATCTGTTGGCCAAGATTTTCTCTAGTGCAAGTCTGACCTCAGTGGGATATTCCTTGGGAGGTCTGGTTTTGTGAGCAAATGAATTTTGAATAAGAGGTGCCATGTTCTCGAAAAGCACTAGTATCTCATATTGCTTCAGTGAAATTATTGCTTGTTTGTTGAGGGCACATAATGTTCTTCTGTACCTACAAAGTACTTTTTAAGAAACTCCAATGAAGATGTTTCTATGCCATTTTTTGACAAGCCATTTTTTTGGTTGCTTAACTCTCTAGAGATTAAAGGCATAAGGCAATAGAGTGCTACATATTTCCTGCAAGATAACCCCAAACCCTAATTCCTTGTGGAAGGAAAGATAATCACTGCCATTTGGGTGGACCAAAGTTCTTTGCAAGGTCAAATTTTAAAGCCTCCTTGAAGTGGCTCTCATCTCTGGTCAGAGCCTTAGCCCTAGAACGCAAAACAAAACAAAACAAAAGACCCGAACCAAAAACCTCAAGCGATTCATTTTACATAACTGATGAAAACTGCATAACACCAGAAAGGTTTCACCAACAATGTGGAATTAGCATTCTCAGCATCTTCTGTTTTCTGACACCAGGATGAGGTAACTTATGAGAGAAGATAACAAAGTCATGACAACCCTCTGCACAGTCATATTCAGTTCCTCATATTTCCAAGAGAATAGAGAGACTTGTTTCCTCTCTGCCTTTCAATGTTCAAACAACCATTAATGGACAGAGCTGTCATACTAAACATCCTGGGCCTATGTTTACTGTCTATCTAGATCTGAAAAGGAGAGTATAGACTACTGTAGAGACTTTTCTTGACCTTTCCTTTGGTTAGAACAACTCCACAGATCCCAAAACGGAGCAGGGGCTCGAAAAAGGTGGAGTTTGACCTTCAGTTCTTTGGCAGGGGAAGTTGGGGGAAGGAACAGAAAATGTTTTTCCCATGCAAGGCAAAAACAGGGTTTGTAGATAGAATACTATATTTTACTGTATCGGGTGGATTGTATAGAAAACAAACACACTGTCAGATACACGTGAAATAGAAATTTAAAACCTGAAGGTATGGCGTTTTTTTGTGAAATGCATCTAAGTTAAGAACTTTGACAAAGTCACATTTATATTGTTTAAATTTGTTTGCCTGTGATGTAAATGTCCTAACGTCATCTTTGCAAGCCATACAGATTTTGTGTTTTACCTAATTTGTGTCTGATGCTTTAAAAAAAAAGTAAGAAAAATAGAGAGAGGGGAAAACAGAGAATCCATACTTACTCTTCGTGTTGTACAGCACATAGAAGTAGGGTTTTTAAACCCCTAAATTCAGAATGATATGTGCATGCATCTTCTTATGTGCCTATCTGCAAATCTGTGTTACTATGCAGCTGCGAACTTAATCATACTTCGTGTGGCAAATGTTGTAGAAAATGTATTTTGAACTTAGCAGAATTCCTTAAGGAAAACAAACTGCAGCAAATAAACTTTTTGAGTTTCAGATGCTTTTGAGTTACAGCTGTGGGAGTATATGCTGAAAACTTGTTTAAACATGGAAAGGTTTGGTGGTGGTGAGCCTCTCATTCTTCAGAACCCCTAACTCTTCAATTAATTTCAGTCATTCTACTAAAAAATTTAAGTGAAAAAAGTGAATGTTAGTGATCATATAAATGTGAAAACTGAATTACAAAGTGCTTTGCAAACTTAACTGGTAACCATCAGTGATGTAATTCTTTCCATCTTTTTATATATGTCAGTGTCTGTTACTTTAAAGTAAACTTGGCAACAAAAAGCCTATTTGAAACACTCAGTATCTGAAAAATTGTAGTTCAAACCATTTATTTTATTACTTTCTAACACTAAATGGATGCTGTGCTTCTAATGAATTCTGTCTATAAACACATAAATAAATATATGTGTATGCTAATAGTATTTTTTTTTAAAGTCTGATTACATTCCTGTGCACAGAAACACAGCAAGTTTTATAATCTTTTATCTGTGGCAACACAAAATCACAGAGTAGGAATGTTCTTATATCTCCAAGGCTTAATTGTTTGTTTAGTGTTATATGTGACTAAAATAGTCATGATTAAATTGTTTGGAGTTTTGGTTTGGATCTGGTTCTGAATAAACCCATGATATTTATACAAACTGACCTAGTCTGGAAATCTCATAAAACCATCTGCCTTATAAGATTTCCAGTATCTAAATGTTTGTGCCCAAATATTTGACTGTGCAAGCATTTTCTGGGAATCTGGCTGAAAAGAGATTTGGTTAACAATTGGAAAAATAGCACAGGAATTCTTGGCAAGACTGTGTCATTCATACTGATATATGAAAACTTAATGTTTTGCCCATCCATCTTAGAACTTTGCTTCTCTTAGCAGCAAGCAAGATTTCCTTCATTTCAAAAGCAAAAACCCTGTGGGCTGCTTCTTTAAAATGGTCATCATACTTGGATTTCTTGTGTACTAGAAAGGCTAGCTCTAAGCTGAGAAAGAAAAGTTTTCACTGCCTTGCATTGTGAAGTTTAAAAAAAAAAACCCTATGTGAACTGAACATACAAAGAATAGAAACATTGTCTTGTATCAGGCTTTTACACAGACTTTGCAGATATAGTAATCACAACAGTGGTTGGCCTATGGAGTAATATCATACTCTTCTGGCTTCCTTTAAATGATGAGATTGGTTTTGCTGCTTTTATTTCTGCCATTATTTCACATTTTGTGTGCATCATAGGTGGAAGCAAGTGAAGTCAGAATATTGTAAAAGAATACTTAAATCTCTTCAATGCAGGGAGATTTTCAAGAATGTAAACATTAAACCTATCATGCTGTTGCACAAATGCATATGAAGAGAGGCTGTCTTGGTGAATGTAGGCTCTTTATTTCGGGGGGGGGGGGAGCTGAATTTATTACAGCAATTAACTCTGAGTGGAACAGTATCCCTCACCTGCTCATGACACCTTCTACTGAAATTGTTGGAGTTTATTATGCTTTCAGCTGTCTAGTAAGAAGGGAGGAGGTAAAATTTGTCTACAGTCCCCATGGTGGTTTGCTTGGAGGTATCTTCTAATGAGTGAAACATTGCCTGTTAGGGAGACAGGGAGAGAGATTAATTTTTATGGAGCTTGACAAAAGAGATCTAATGTTTTATAAGTGCTAGCTGGAAAAGAAGTGAAGTCAACCCTGAAATCTTTTGATTAGTATTTGTTGCAAATAGGAATACAAGTGCTATGCAATAAACATTGTTCTGATAAAATGTACCCTTTCCATATCCCCCACCAAAACAAGAATCAAAATTAAAAGCAGTTAAATATTGCCAGGTCTTTGTACGTGCTGAGAATCTAGATTAAAATAAATTCTCACCCAGTGTAACAGCTGTGAATAGCATTCCTGGGACTGTTCCAATTACACTTTACTTGAGTAGTGTATTACTTTCATATTTGCTATTAGGGCTCTGCAGTATGCAATAAGTTTTTTATATTCTTACCTCACAGAGATAATGGGAAGTGTCATATCTGAGAGTATAGTGTACCTTTTTCCCTTCCGTCTGAGTGTGGCTGTTCCAGCCTGCCTCCTATCATTTAGGGGGTTGGGACTATGGAGAGATTTCTCTAAATGTTTGCAATCCAGGAGAAGCAGTTTTGCAGTTTCTGATACAGATAGCAGGCCAGCTAGGCAAATTTTGTGTGTCTACATCACTGCCGCAAGGGGACAGGTATACGTGAGCGGTGACTGGATTTTATTGCTTTTTGTGTCTTCAATTATATGTGTTGATTGTTTGATACAGTATTTTTTCTGAAAGGAAGGTTTGAAAAGGGGAGAAATTAAAATGACAACAAAATTTAATCAGTAGAATGTTCTCAGGCAGGCACTGAAACTGCACTGTATTTGGTAGCTTCTTGGTCTGGTTTAACAATGAATTGTTGTTCTTTAATGACAAAACTTGGCATTTCTGAATTTGTACTCTATAAACAAATGATTGCATTTCCCCCAAAGTGCATGTTGTTTACAATTTGGATATTTTTGATACTCAAATGATTGTGACTTGCAAATTGTTAAATGGCACTTCATTTTGGTTGCTTTTTATTGAAATGGTTGAGGAAATTCTGTCATCACAGTCAGTGCTTTTTAGTACTTGTTGTGGCAAGTTTCCACTGAAATAATTACACCCGTGGTGAAGTTTTTACAGGGTTGGAAATCTTGGAGTTGAGAGCACATTTCTTCTGTGCTATATGTTTCTATTTCTAATCGCACCGTTTGGCACAACTAGGAAAATTTTCTTGTCAGACTTTTTTAATAGCCTTCAATTTTAGTGAAAGATGTTTTTTGACATGCAAGTGTTCTTGGTATTTTAATTCATGTTAGAGAGAAGGAATTTGCAGGTGTGGAGACTGTATTCAAAAATAGAACTTTTTCTACAGTAGAAGCAAGTGGGAGCAGCCACTTAAAAGCCTATTCATTATTAAAAAGTTTTTGATGGGTTTTTTTCCTCCTCATTTCTGATGCAGCTGTTCATTTAGACTGCTAAATAACTGAAATGGATCGGTATACTGTTTTCTTTCCTTCACATACAATCACTTTATTTCTACCTATTCAACTAAAACAGATAGGCAAAGGTAAGGATGAAGATGAAAGCAAAGGAAATTTCTTCTTTCAGACAAGCTGAGAAGAAGGTGACTACCTCTACTTAAGATTCACATTTTGGTCATAAATCTATGTATTCTAAATCCCCTATGAAGAGACTGTATGGGGTCCAGCAAGATGTATTTATGGTGCAGCTGGGATTTGTTCATTACTGTTACGTCCTTTGCAAGATAGTGATAGAGATTTCAAGTAAGCTTTTTTGGTCTGTTAATGTCTGTGTGACTGTGTATGAAAGGATTAAGAGGACAAAGGAGGAGAATTTCCTTATTTTAATGTTGCCAATAATTTCTTGTTAAAAACATTCTTTGTCAGTCCAACTGATGGTTAGATCTTACATTGCCTGCCATGAAATTTGGGTAGATCACAGAAGTCAGGATACAGATTATTAATTGGTACTCCAGGAATTGGTAAGAGAGGATATTTACTACTTATATTTCTTTCCAAGGTTTGGGTTAGACTATGGCTTGTTTTGAATGCAAAGTAATACAGCTAACAAAGAGAGTTATGTGAGCCAACTTAAATAGCAATTTTGTAACCCGGTGGAATATCTGAGTGAGCTAAATTGTAGCAACTAAAACAGGAGAAGGTGTATTTTTGGTGCCAAGAAAGCAAATTTGACAGTAATGAGATAAAATATGTAAATAAAGTGAATCTTTGTGTATGAAAATATTTCCTATGATTGTCACTTGCCTTGCCTTAGGTTGTGTTTTAATAATGAAGTAGGAATTTTCCTGTACTCAACAGTCATCTTTTCATACACACTCTACTCTGGAAGTGCTCTTCTATAACTTTGGCAAAAGCAGCTTTATGCATTGACAGTATTTTATTTGGTCCATTAAGTCATTTTAATCTTGACCTTTGCTACCTTTTCAGTTGATTAAAGAACTTTTTGTGGTAGTTTTCTTAAGGTCCCTTCCTTTCTCTCCATATATTTTCCTATATAATACCTAGATTAAATCTCACAACTCAACATTCTTTTGATTCTGAATGATTCTTGGGCATGTAGCTGGGGTTCTAGAGTTGTGTTTGGTTTATAACCTTAATTTGCTTTATTGAAGTGTGGAAAAAAACAATTGGATGGAACTAATCCTTTTTCAGCTGATGTAAATTTAAGATGGATATAGACAATGCTTTATTTATGTTATTTATGTTATGCGTAACAATTTTCAGTAATACTTGGATTAAAAAGTTGCCAAATGTCTCTTAGATTTGTTTTTACAAAAACTGAAACCCCCACCCCATTCTGATAATGATACAGTATGTATATTGAAAATGAGACTGTAGCAGGGAGTGGAGTTCTTGTGCTGTCACTCTCACTGTTTACATTGTGTTGTTTTATACTGGTTAGCATCACAGTCATACTTTTTCAGGGTGGTGCTGCTTGACTGAATTGGGCAATTTCTGTAGAAATGTTTTTTAATTTCCTAATCTGTTAGCATTCGTCACGTTATTGATTTAAACTGCTGAAAGCAATGTCTTGGTTTACTTTTTTGTTTGAAGTGTGGGCAATACATAATGGGATCACTGAATGAGGAATGTATTATATAAATGTCAACTATTACTGGATTTCCCTTGAGAATATTTTTGGACTAATTTTGAGGGGAACACCTTCCCCTGGGCGGATATAGAAGATCTTGAGAAATTGGTTGAGGCTCCCTGACTAATAGACTCATGATTTAATCGACTAGTTCTGGCATATGTCAGAATCACAGAAAATCCTGGCAAAATGAACTTGCAGTTTGTGGTCAGAACCACACACACTTGGCTGGTTGTGAATAAGGAGACTGTTCTTTTGCTCTTTATGTAATACTCTTAATGCCAGGGTCTGCATGATGGGGGGCCTATATGTACCAAGGACATGACTGGGCTAGTACTATATTTGTAGGGAAGGTATGCTGGCTTTTCTGATACTTGATAACCATAAGGGGCCAGAAAGAACAAGAACATTGGTGGGTAGAAGTCATTTTAGTAATTCGTAATGAAAATGGTTGTAGTGCGTTTCTTTGTGAAGAATTTTTTTTTTTTTGTCAAGCAGGTTCTATACAGTTCGCTACAGAGAAAAGGATAAAGACAAGAAATGGGTTTTTCAGCTTTGCCCAGTTACAGAGACAGTGGTGGACAATCTGAAGCCAAACACACTTTATGAATTTGGAGTTAAAGACAACGTAGAGGATAGTATTTGGAGCAAGACTTTCAATCATAAGATAGTTCTGTCTAGTAAGTATTTGGCAATAATTAATCAAATAGCTATCATTTTGACAATATTTTTTCCTCTATAGTGATATTACTGAAAGTAAGCTACTGATCAGGTTTTCATTGTTTAAATGCTATCCCATATGTCCCTAACAAATTCTTTTAGGAACTAGTGAAACTAGTGTGTTTGAAAAACTGCCACCTACTCTTTGAAAGGTGTTCTCATTGCAAATAGTAGAGGATCTGCTGCAGGTTGGTAGAACTCTTAACAGTGGCTGCTTTAGATAAACGTTAAGTGTTGAGTGTGTATGTTTATACTTCTGACTGGATTCCAAGCTTTTCCTTGGGCCTTGAATAATAAGATCATTACTAATTTGAGTCGATGGAAAGTATTATCCTTGTTTGAATCTTCTTTTATATCTGCTTTTACATTCAAGCTGGTTAAAATCTAGACAGGGCCTGTCCTATTCAACATGCATCACAATAGACCTTTTATGAATTTGCTGGGAAGTTGAATTTGAAGCTAATTTTCAGTCAAGGAATTATCTAAATTGTGTTTGAAGCATACACTCTCATGTATGCTTTTGTTTGGGTTTTCATGGAGGCAGTGTATGGCATCTCTGACTGTTTTCTTAGTCATATTTTAAGCTTTTTCTCCAAAGTCCCAAGACAACACAGGCAAAGTGACATCAAATTAACCCTTGAAAAAACATGTACTGCTCAAAGAATGACTGCTGTCAATGGAGGAAATAGGCAGCAGCAGAGCCCTCCTCCTTTTAAAGACAGGAAGAAAGGACTCAACAGACATTGTCCAATTTCATTTATTTTCCTCAAGCATTTACATAAAAGTATTTCTGAGCAATATGTTGGACAGAAGATGCTGCAAACTCCTATGCTCAGTATTTCTAGCTTGACTCAAAATGTGAAGAATGAGAATTCTCATAAGAGAACCTTATTCAAATGAGATTTCCAGCTGAAATTTGCTTTGAACCCAGTTTCAGGTTGTAGGCAAGTTACACAGCTCGATATACTTGAGGATAAGGGAGGGGAGCAGTAGGGTGGCATGTAACACTGCAAAAGCCCTCATACTGCCTAGTAAAGAACTTCACTGGCCTTCATCATAAATTAAAAAGCTGTAACTTTGAGATACCTGCCCCGTGACCGTAGTGTCATTTTAGCAGTCCAGAATAATGCCATCATTATACCATGAACTTAAAGAGGAGAATGGTGGTAGTCTTTTCCCATACCTGCCTCATAAAAAGAAACTCTGCTTCACAGCTCTAAAGAAGGCTTACCAAACAGCTGTTTCTCCTACATTTTGAAGTCATCTGTACAGTAAGTGCTGGAATATATTTGAGCAATTAAAGTAGAAATGAGTGATGAGTGCATAGTGTTTATAGTTTGATACTGTGTTAGGGACTGAGTGAAATGTCCACTGGCATCACCACATTTTCTCTTTGTATACAGTCTTGTTTCTAAATGCTCTTTCTTACAGACACTATACATTTTCAATAGGCCAGAGGAATCATTCTTCTAAGTTACAGAGACAAACTGAATTGGGTTGAAAGATACTTTGTCATAAGAGTTCATATTCTACTTAGATGAGATTTGTTTTTCCTACAGCGTAGACTTGTGTATTCGGTGGGTGCTTCTGCAGCAACTAAATCCAGGGAGCTTGCTATTACCCAGTATGTCTACATTCTGATCTACTGATAAAGTATCTTGTAATTGGAAAGTTGACAGCACCTTTCAGGTTCAAGGCTTTCATTGGTGTTCCCCAGGGCTCAGTGTTGGAGCCAGTTCTGTTTAACATCTTTATCAACAACCTGGATGAGGGGATCGAGTGCACCCTCAGCAAGTTTGCAGAAGACACTAAGCTGGGTGGAAGTATTGATCTGTTTGAGGGTGGATCGATGGGCCAAGGACAACTGTATGAGGTTCAATAAGGCCATGTGCCAGGTCCTGCGCTTGAGTCACAACAACCCCATGCAACTCTAGAGGCCTGGGGAAGAGTGGCTGGAAAGCTGCTTGGCAGAGAGAGATCAGGGGGTACTGGTTGACAGCAGACTGAATATGAGCCAGCAGTGTGCCCAGGTAGCCAAGGCAGCCAACGGCACAGAATCATAGAATCGTTTAGGTTGGAAAAGACCTTTAAGATCATAAAGTCCAACTGTTAACCTAACACTTCCATCCCACCACTAAACCATGTCCCTAAGCATCTCATCTATCCTTTTAAATACCTCCAGGGATGAGGACTCTACCACCTCCCTGGGCAGCCCATTCCAGAGCCTGACAACCCTTTCTGTGAAGAAATTTTTCCTAATATCCTCAGCCTCCTCTTCTCCAGGCTAAACAACCCCAGTTCCCTCAGCCACTCCTCATAAGACTTGTGCTCCAGACCCCTCACCAGCTTTGTGGCTCTCCTCTGGACAAGTTCCAGCAAGGCAACGTCTTTCTTGTAGTGAGGGGCCCAAAACTGAACACAGTATTCAAGGTGCGGCCTCACCAGCAAGGAGTACAGGGGCATCCTGGCTTGTATCAGAAATAGCATAGCCAGCAGAACTAGGAAAGTGATCGTCCTCCTGTGATTGGCACTGGTGAGGCTGCACCTCGAATGCTGTGTTCAGTTTTGGGCCCCTCACTACCAGAAGGACACTGAGGCACTGGAGTATGTCCAGAGAAGGGCAACAAAGCTGGTGAGGGGTCTGGAGCACAAGTCCTGTGAGGAGTGGCTGAGGGATCTGGGGTTGTTTAGCCTGGAGAAGAGAAGGCTGAGGGGAGACCTTACCGCCTTCTACAACTGCCTGAAAGGAGGTTGTAGTGAGGTGGGTGTCGGTGTCTTCTCCCAAGAAACAAGTGATAGGACAAGAGGAAATAGACTCAAGTTTCTCCAGGGGGGGTTTAGACTGGATATCAGGAAAAATTTCTCCACCGAAATGGTTGACAAGCACTGGAACAGGCTGCCCAGGGAAGTGGTGGAGTCCCCATCCCTGGAGGTATTTGACAGGCAGGTAGATGTGGTGGGGAGGGATATGGTTTAATGGTGGACAGGTACTGTTGGACTCAATGATCTTAAAGGTCTTTTCCAACCAAATGATTCTATAATTCTATGATATTGTCAGTGCATAGTAGGTAAATACAGAAACTGTGGGCAGTAAACAGGGAGTGAACATTTATTTTAAATTTGTAACCATCTGTCTACACAGGAGTTTACCAATCAGCACAAATGTCCCCTTTTTTTTCTGTTTTAACTTACTGTCTTCTAGCAGCTCAAGGTCTTTTCATATATATGTATCTTTACATCTCAGCCTAAACCAAATATCCTTCACTGTAAATTTTCTTCACTGAAGAATATACGAACTGAAATTCCTATTGCATGTTCTTGTGCTTGTTGAATCCACAGGCCAAATTTTTGTTATATACTAAACATGTTGGGAGGGGTTGGGAGGAGAATCTGGTTTTAATTCATGCTTTGAGAAAGACTTAAAAGGCATGGCAAACATTCAACAATTATTTAACCAAATTTTAACAAAAGAGATGAAAGTAGATTATTTCTGACCATCTTAAGATGATTTTCTCATGAAGTCAGTGTGAAACTTTTGTCTTTAGGCCAAGAGTAGCTCCTGTTCCTGAGAAGTATCGAAGTCTTTGAAAGATTTTTATTTTTTTTTTCCAGGAAAGCATGTCAACTTAAACGTCTCTCAGTTGATATTTCTTCATAGTTGAACTTTTTTCTATTGTTTATCTCTTTTGGATGGAATTGTGGAGAAATATGATAACATTTAGCTTGATTCTTGTTTACATGTCTGTTGACGCAAAGGGAACAGAAGCGTGTAAAGGTGGAAGATGTAGACAAAATTTGAAGCATCACTGTAGAATATAAGAGGTGCTGAGAGGGACTGTTTCTCCTCTGTACTTAGTAGCTGCATCACAAAAAGCTTCTAACACTAAGAAGCTAAAAAGAAAAACCTAAGAGAAAAATTTCAGAGCTTAAATCTGTAGGTTACTTTGTTCATATGTTGAGATAAAGGAAACCACATCAGACCCAAAGAGAAATTATATGCCTGCTTTGTATTGCCAGTGCGAAATGTGTATCTCTTTTAGAAGAGTGCATTTAAAAGCAAAACTAACTGTTGTAGACCTTAAAACGTGCTGCTTTTAGCGAGTCCTAGTACCTGCCTGACAGATGGGATGCAGAAATTCCTCTTTCAAGTTTCTTCCTTACATATTAGTGTTGTGGTTATAGTAATTTTATTAAAAGATCCTCTTAGGCACCTCTGACTTCTCTTTAGTAAGTCCCAAAGACCACTTCAGCTCTCTTACCCCCTGTTGCAGAACACATTTCATTTCCTGTCTATCAAAATGTGAAGAGGCTTTGCAGATGAATTAATTAGTCTGGAGAAACAGGACCAAAAAACCCCCATTCATAGTGTGTTTTTATACCTTGTAATTATGCTTCTGAACTTCCTTAACTATTGAAAAAGATGAATAAACTTGGTTTGCTTTGCTTTCGACAAAATGAAAAGTAATTCTGTGTATTTATTTCTCTTTCTGTCAAATCAGGTAAAAAAGTAAATGGACAACTCCAGAATATGTACAAGTTGGTACCTAATTCCCAAACACAGGTATGAAAAACAGTCTTATTTTTTATACCAGATTTGTGTTTTGTATGGTCAAATTTTTGCTTCTCTGTTAGAGTAAAATGAGAAAAAGATTATGGCATTTGCCATAACAGCTATCAAGCAAGCATGTGTGGGTTTCACACGTTTGTGGATTCACATACACAGATACCTTCTGCTTCCAAGAGCTGAAGCAGAAATTGAGGATTTGTAGATTGAACCTGTTAGTAGACTAGTTTTAATACAGTGAAAAATAGGCATTTTATTAATAACTTTTGAGCATTATCTCCTCTCCTATGAGATGAAATTGGTTTCTTCATATTTCCTTTCTTTAATTTTTCATCAAAGTGCAAGTTTCAGCACCTAATCTTCTGGGGTTTGGGGTTTTTTTTTTTGTTCTGCTTTGTTTTCAAAATACTGTCCATAAGGTAGACTATGGGATAACTTCCCAAGAAAACTTGTAGGAATCTTGTTACTTCAGGCATTTTAAATGGTTGACTCATAAGTGATTATTATAAGGGAAGAATTCATTCTTCACAATTCTCTCCTGTCTCTGATTTTCCAAGTGTTTTTGTGGTAGGAAATGGTCATGTATGGTTTCTTGTTGTTCATTCTTCATATTGTACGATATTGTAAGTGATCTGTAATTACGAGACCTGGAATTCCTTCAGGAATCAAACCACAGTCTGTTACATACGTTTTCTTGTGGGAATAATAAGGTATTCATTTAGGACACAAATACTTTAATTATAGCATTACATACAGTTAGAGCAGTGTCATGCTTAGGTTACTGGAAATATAGTCATGTCTCACATTCAAGAGAAAGTGTTTTATTTGTGAGTAATATGAAGTCAGTTGATTAGATACTCAGGAAGGTGCTCATCCCATTATGTTGATGAAATCAACTTTGCTATTCTTCGCATTGGTCCCATAAGCATCTTTAAAGTTACATGTGACGGGCCAAGACCAGGTAATTCATTCTGGCATCTGGACCGCAACCTGAGTTCCTTTCTTCCTCTTAGCAAACCCTGTGTGCCAGGGCCCTGACTCCGTTATGCTGCTTCTGTGGAAGTAGGGATTCTATTTACTCAAGAGAAGTCCTGAGAAAGTGAGCTAAAACAGTTTTCCAAATATTTGCGCAGCTTAAGCATGAAAGGAGAACTGGAGCCAACAACTAGTCTTTCTAGTCAGCTTCATGGGGCTTAGCTCCAGAGCAGTACTGCTTTATCACCCTCCACAGAAATATCATGAAAACATTCTGTAGTTTATTCTAAAAATTCTCTTATCATTCTCACTTTAGTTGTGCAAAAAGCCATAAAACTAAGGCTGAAAAGCAGACAGTGGCCAGCTCTTAAGTTTACATTATTACTTCAGTTTCCACAGTATTAGGTGGGGTGTGTTTCAGTGGTGCAATTGCATCATCAGTGCAAAGACAGAATAAGTGTTTTTGAGGCCAAACTTTGTTTGTGCCTTAGGTTGCTCCAAAGCCATAACTGGCTTGTGTCAGCATGGTTCTAACTCTTCTCTGTAAGGACACATTTTTAAAGGCTGTTTATTAAAGCAACATTACTGATCCATCTAGTCATTCTGCCCTTTCAACATCGGTCACATAGCAGCTTGTGTTTCTTTTGGCGGCTTTGTCCTTTAAGTTTGACTAAGCTCCTGGGCTGTGTGAGCTACAACTAATGAGAGGGGAAGAAAAGGGATGGTCATTCTTTTTCCCTTCATAAACAATGGGTGGTGATAGGGTGCAGATGATGCAGTAGAAATTTATTTCCTATTCTGTCCGTTTAGGTTCCTGTAATTTCATAATGTCAGTCTGAAAAGTAGGGCCCTCCTTGATTTTTCCAGCCAAAAAGTAGGACCCTTAGCTTCTGTCATTTGTTAAACTCTGAAAGAAAACATGCCTGCTCTTCCAAAACTTACCCAATCCAGGCTTCCTTGAGGAGTCTCTCACATGTATGCCAGTTATTTGTGGCTTTATGGAGAATGGGAATATAAGAGAGGCAGAACGAACAAATATCTCTTAAAGTAGTGTTGCCAGATGCTGTTTGACAGGATGTTTAACTGCAGTCCTTCATGCAGTATGGTACAGGCACATGGTCAGAAGTTAAGATGCCTGAATTATGGTATAACTTACATCTCTGATTTTCCTCTGAAATTAAGAAATACCTTATTTGCCATCTTCCTTCCTTCATGGAGATGCCAGTCATTTTAATAACTAATGTTCCTAATACCTATATGCTTTATATTCTCTTTCTGGAAAATAGAGTTAATAGTGCCATTCCTACAGGTGGTATGGTGATGTTTCTGAAATAGTTTGTCCAAGTAATAAAGTTTACTAGACACAGAAATATCTAAGGTAGTCACTTTTTAGAGACTAAGAAGAGAGGATTAACAACACTGTGGTAGATTTCAGTGCAGCCCTTGCAGATTTATGCAAGTGAGCAGTGTAATTACAGCAGCTGTGGAACATGGATTTCATGTCAATGATTTGTTCTTGAGTGAGGAACTAAATTTTGAATGTATTTTAATGTATTTAGCATTTTCATATTGCTGTCATTACAGTCATCCATTATTATTCAACAAAGAAAGGCTGTTCTTGCCAAGAACCTTTTACTAGTAAAAAGACTGATAATAGTTATGATAAGAAGTTCCACACTGGAATTACACAAGTGCTCACTACAACTTGCAAGCTGTTTATTCAATTGTAGGGCTATTGCTGAGAAATACAGTAAAACGAACAGCTTACAATAAATGCATTTCATTCCACTTGTTAGTCACATGAAGAGCAGGGTTACTTCAAAAGCTGATCATCTTTAACACAATTTTTTCACTAGAAGGCAAAGTAGAAATGTAAACCTTGTTAATAATAAGGAAAAATAGTAAGCAATAAAAAAGTAAGGTTATTTTGTATCCTTCATTAATGACAATGATTGAACCTCAACTTAATTTCAAACCATGTTCATGCCAATGCAAAACTGTTATTAGGAAGCAGAAACCAATGGCTTTCATAGAATAAGCAGCCTCCATCCATTTCCCTGAGGAAAGGGCCATCTTACTTGTTGAGATCTGTCTTCTCCCAGCTGCTTAGACTTTGGTATGTGTTTGATGTGTACCCAACCATTGCTTTTAAAGATTTTTTTAATATTTAGAATAGACCAAAAATAGTAAATAATTAAATTTTTGTCACCAAATGCTGAATTTTAATGCAAATGTTCTTTTATATGAAGTAGACCAGATGTCATGAGGTGCAAGATGAACATTAACTGATTTTGCCTTTAGTGGTGTACATTTAACATAGAGAGGTAATTGTTTGAGTTATTTTCTTTCTTGTAACTCAGATATAACTGAAAAAAATCCTTTTTAATGTATTTAGCATTTTTATATTGCTGGCATTACACTGTACCTCCTCTCATCACCTGAGTGTATTATTAAGTTTTCAAAAGTTGTTCCTAGTACCTACATGTGGTAGTGAATACTGTTTTATGATCTTTGGGATCAGCTGTTTTCTTCTCTTTAATAAATGTGGGGTCCATTCATGTGCTCCTTATTTTCATGGTATCAAAATGCTGGAAAAGTTTCATACTTAGGCGAAAAGTAATCTGGGTCAAAGACAAGTGAACAGCAGAAAAGTCCCCAGTATTTAACATAAAAATGTGAGAAGAACATGGGTGGCTGGCCAATTATACTTTGGAAACAATTTCACCAAATAAAATTACTCTGAGTTAATCTACTTTAAGCAGACTATGCAGCCAAAAGTGCTGATAGTTTACAAATGTACACCTGGTTCTGGAATAGTTTGTGTTCTAAATATACTATTCCTGAGAATATAATGATATCCTGTGACCAAATTTGTAATTGCTTATGTTTCAGATGTTTTGTTGTATTCCAGCTTTTCTTAGCTTTCTGGACTACTCCCCAGGGAGTGCTCAAGAAATCCTTAAAAGAAAAAAAGGACTGGGGATTCCTAAGGTGTCAAATACCATGTTTTTATGAAGCAAAATATCTCAAGCTGAAAAAAACGAAATAAAAATGCAATATTATTATCCTAGCCCATGGGAATTGAAGCAATAGTGTAACCTTCAGTGACTAGGGCCAGAGCCATATCCAGTGTTAGCTTGGGGCAGGTGCAGTATTGGATTAGAGCCCTTTCTTTTTGTTAAGAAAGTTCAATTACTATTGTGGCAGTTATCCCAAGGCTTTTTTTTTTTTTTCTCTCCTCTTCTCTCAGCTTACACTGCGTGATAATAAGAAGTTGGTCCCTGTCACAATAATCAAACAAGGTAAATGTGTATATTTTTTGAATTGATTCTTATGCTCTGCAAGAGTAACTTAAAATTAAAATGAAAAAAAAAATTCTGACTGATGTGAATGTCATGAAAATTTCCTTTTAGAATAGGTGGAACTTCACAAACTACCATATCCTTTAATTACAACTGCTATTAAGCTGTTACTTATCTGTGTTAGTAAAATGAGCTATTAGGTTGCATTATAAATAATCACTTAGTTGAGTCATTGAATGGATACCAATCAGTTCTGATTGCTGCTAGTATCCATTCCTTTTCAGCTGGATTGTCCAGGTATGGTGATGTCCAGCTGTGCATAAACTGATAGTCAGGCATGAAGGGTGGAAGTATGGATAAGATTCATGCTACCAAACTTTTTGGTGTGTATCTTCAGTGCAGTCATTGACTTAGACTCCCTTCTCCACCTTTCCCTGGTCAGTGGAGAGAGATAAATAGAAATGCCTGTTTCTCTCTACTAGTGAGAGGTAGTATAGTAGTGTAATCTTTGAAAATTAACTACTTAAAGATAGCTGAAAGAAAATGAGCTGCAGATTAAAACTTGTTAACAGAAATTGTGTTGTGAATAATTTTAAGTAACAAAAGCAAGCAAATTGTCTTTGGATGTAGTTCAGAGACCAGAAAACACTGGAGGGTGCTGTGAAAGCAAATTACAGTAATTACCATTAAAATATGACTGTACTGGCATTTACTTCACATGTATCTTTTTTAAGACTTGTGAATGGCAGGGTAAAGAGATGGCCTGGAGCTGGCCCTATATTAACATAAGCATAGAATATAATTTTTCACCAAGGATATAAAACTGATACGGTAGGGGAAAGAAGAGATGCACAGTTAAGAGATGATGTAGAGGAAACACAGTTTGCAGTCTCTTAAACTGAACGCAAATACAGAAAAGATTAGGATGGTGTCCTCATCTCCAAGTATTAAGTTGAGGGAAAGTTTTCGGATTGCTGAGGCTTGTATCAGGTGTCGTTTTGTTTCGTGTTTTGTTATTTTTTTAAATTATTTTCTAACACCCCTGTGTTGTCTCCACAGTTATTCAAAATCGGACGCAGTCAAAAACTTCAGATAGTTCTTCTCTGCCAGGAGCAATATTAGGTGACTAGAAGATATTTTTATTATTTTTCCTCACCTTCAGCTGAAAATTAGAACTGTGTAAATATTTTTAATTTTCTTGATCTTGATAGTTCTTTCCTTGCATATCAAAGGGCATTTTGAAGCTGGTTCAGACAGTATTTGTTACATTTTAAGGAGGTACAGATGATTCAAGGATTTCGTAGCCTAAGGGAAATAGAATCTTTTTATTGTCATAGTATTTAAAAGAAGACACTGTCTCTACTTAAGCCAAAAAGTTCTTTCATACTTCCAGTTCTGTGGCAAAGATCTTATTGAGATCAGGGGTTGTTCTTCTTGGTTTTTTTTTAACATACCATTTCCCACACATTCAGACTAAACTCCCAAGCGTTCAATAGTAGTTGCTCACATATCTCAGAGGGCAAACTGTCTATTTTTCATCTCTTATGGAAGTAATTACACACATCTTTCTTTGTAGTGCACCTTATTGTTCCAGGTCTCAATGAAACTCAGCAGAAACTTCCTCCTCTCCTGACAATAGATGACATACCTCAAGCATCCAGGAAAAAACTGGGTAAGCAGAAATAAGCTAAGCTTGTATTGTTCGTGAGCAGTATCAGAAGCGTAGTGATATGAGATCGTGTATGCAAAAAAAAAAGTCCTTTTTTTTTTCCTCTCTTACCATTTTTATTTTTTCTTTAATTAATGGTTAGCTTGGACTTATAAGGATTCATAGAAATTCACTTATTTTAAAACATCTGAACAGGTTTTTAAGGTATTTTGCAGCCATTTAAAAAAACATGCAGTAGCTTTGATCCATAGAGGAAAAAAGGGAAACCAGTCATGTTTATGTTGTTCAGGGGTTTTGTTTTGTTTTACAATGTAACTTATTTTTTTCATAGGTTATATCTTTCAATATATGGCTTTAAAAATGGAAATTTGTGTGTCCATTTGATTTTGTCCATTTTCAGCAAATTTTAATTGTATGAGCTCTTGATTGAGTATATGTGAGAAGTTGTTTCATGAAGAGATTCTTGTATATTACCTGTGACTAAATCCATGAAAAAACAGTAGCCAGAAATTAGAAGATATCAGTACGGGTTTCATGCGTATCTTGTGAATATGCCTGAAACCTACAAGAAAAAGATTAATTGAGGCTTTTGTTTAAGATCTGTAAACTAGCATATCATCTGTGACTAGCATAATTGTGGGAAATACAGCTATCTTTAAAAACGTTAATAATGCCCCCAGTGCATCTTACAGAGATCCCTCGAGTAGAGTTCTGGTGCTGGTGACTTTTGGCTTGGCTAGCCTTAATACTTAATCTGAAGTCTGAACAACTGGGTCAGATTTTTTTTCCTTTCTTATTTCTGTTTTGTTTCATTTTCTCTGCCACACCATTGCTGGCCATGGCACATTCTCAGACTGGCTTGATTTCCAGTGAGAAAACAGCAGTGCTTATTCCTATTAAGATACTGTGTACATGTAAGGGTGGAGCTACACAGCAGAATAATGTTTGAACGTGTTTGAGTATGAATATGTTTGAACTGAGGCTGAGTTCCTTAAAAATTGGTATCTGGAAGTATTTACCAGCATTTGACAGACAAATATTGTTAGCATCATCTGTGGGTAGTGAAAATTTAAGCTAAGTGGAAAAACTTAATTGCAGTATTTACATTACAGAGAATTACTGTTTTTCAAACATGGTGATAAAATTAATCACATCATTAACTTGATTACTAATATTGTCTTTGAACAGCAAGCATAGAAAACAAGATGGGTATCATTACTAGCTTGATTTTAACATGCATTTGTGCAGATAACAAAGGTACCATTAAATATGGTCAGTAGACCATATTTGACAAATCCAGTTCTCATACCCCTTACTTTTAGTAAACCACATTTTAAGACCTCCAATATTAGGTTTGGCCTACAGTATCTAGAACTTCTGTATTTGTTTCCATTTTCTACCAAAATTATATCTTTCTGCAGGAAAACAATGTTGTGTTTTCAGATAGGTCATAAGGTTCGGTAGCATGCGCAGTAAAAATGGCAGAATGTGACTATGAGCAAAAGATGGGGAAAAAGACAAAGGTAGCTTCAGTTGTCCTAGAGATATCTAACTTTCTCAGTTGACTGAGCATAGAACTTTGACTTCTAAATTTAAATGCACTGATATGTCTAAAATAGCTGGTGTGATGCCAGTTTGGAGCCACTCTTTATGGTACATTACACAAGCACCTTTGTGAAAATAACCAGCACAGACAAGTGATGTTTTGTTCTTTTCTGTTTACTATGTGTTCCTTACGAGAGAACAAGAAGTACGTGGGTGTACACACAAGGGACTACTAGATTTCAAAGGAGTGTATAACAGGGAAGAGTCATTGCTTGGAAAGCAAAAATACTCTGAGAAATAATTTAAATGTGTAAAATAGTTGACAGAAAGACATATTGTCCAAATATATACAGATATCCTTCACTGATGTCTGAGAATGATGTATGTCTACAATGAAATGCAATAAGACTTATGTCATGTCATGACTAATTCTGATTTGCTGATGTACTGCAACTGTTCTAAGTCTGTATTATTTAGAAAAGTCAAAATAATGTATCACAGAATATTTATTGAATTCTCAAAATATTTTTTTCTGTTTACTTATTCAGAAACTTACTTTTTTTTTTTTTTACAAGAGCAGTAGTCCAGAAAAAAACCCACAAAATATATTGCCTTAGTCCTCAGTGGAAAAAAATCAACAGGTGTATTACTCAAGTCGAAATTAATAAATTTTCCTTATATCCACCACAGGAATATCTTCATATCTGTTGGAATTGAAGGCTATTATCATACCACTGCAATTGTTGGAAATAATGTAAAGGAAAATAAGGCCATGACTAGTGTGACAATTCCATTGTATTTGAAAATTTATAAGGCTAGTCTTGTATAATGCTTAGAACTACATTACATCTTTGAATTTTGAAAAACATTTTTGTTGTTGGTGCTCAAACACTAGACAAATGAGAAACACTGAAAACTATTTTGCACTGTGGAAATAATGATTCGTAAGGCATTAAATTCCTTGCTGTAAATTTTATTCTTAAAATATCTTTTAATGAACAACAAATACCAAAAGTGCATGTGTTCAAAATAGCTAGATAGGTGCTTGTTCCGATTGTGCAGTGGAAATTCATTGATCCCTAAAGGTATTGAGCTTTCCACATTTACCCATGTTGGTTTATTTTGGCAAACTGAAGTGGAACAGAAATAAATCTGTAGTACAACAGAGCAGATACAGCTTTGCAATTACTCTCTAATGTCTTTGTCCCTTTAGCTAAGAATGAAACTCGAGTATGGCCTGCTGAATCCAAAACACCAGAAGTTCAAGAAATCTCTCCACAGTCCCTCCCAGGTAATTAAAATTCTATTTTTAGAAACATCTTTGCCAAGTATGTAAACTAAAATTAAATCCATCTTTGTGTTGCTTAATCTGCCGTTAAAGGCAGTAGTTGGAAAGCAGGAGGATAATGTAGCTGAATTAGTAGTCATGAGTGGTAGATGTGGGTAAAAATCTGAATCTCATTTTGGAGGAAAGATTCAGATGCTACAATTTTTAGGTTTATAAAAATACTTAGAATTAAAACCATATATTTGTGGTGTGCTGGATACTTTGAAATTGTGAAAAATGGCAAAACAAATTTTCTTCTGATGCACCTTGAACTTCTGACTTTCATTAGATATATGAAGAAGAAAATTAGGGATAAGAGCATGATTGCACAAAATTCATGCTTGAGATTAAGATGGAACAGTCACAGTAAACAAGCTTTATTTCAGAGGTGCAGAGGATGACAGCATGATGTTCTATTTAAGTTCAGTTTTGAACACATTAATCTTGACCACACTCGCTTTGTGGACTTACTGGTCCTATTGAAGTAAATGGGAGCTGTTAACATATATGGGAAAGGTATATAAAATTTGATCTTAGACTCTTATTCAAGGTTATGTGTCTGTGAAATATATGTTAACTTATATATTTGGAAGACTGAAATTTCTTATCATCTACTTGAGGCTGAAAAATACTGCTTATTTAAAAGGACATATTTGGATGCTAATTTCTTAAACTGTTCAAAAGCATGAAGTGAAATTGTAAAACTCAAAAGATTTACTGCCTTTATTTGCTTAGGAAACAAGTTAATGTAAAATAAATAGACTACTTTATCAAGTTGCATAACAAGTCTAGCCCTATATTTTAACATTTGTGATCCGAAGGCAAAAAGATTGGAGAGAACCAAATTCTTCAGGGTCAAATGATGAGTGACTTTCCACCCACTTTGTCGACCCACATTCCAGAATTGTTTAAGTAGGTATAACGCCTGTCTTCGTTTTCTGTAGTCTGGCTTTTATCCTATAACTGAGACTGAAGTCTTGATTCTGCTGTCACCAGAGGCTTTTGCTAACTTCTTTGTGGAAAGGGGAGAAAGGAGGCTTGAACAAGGGCAAGGCTTTAAAATGAAAAAAGAATTTGAGGAAAGAATAAAGTGAAGGTTTGCTTTGGTTTAGTTTAGCCATATTATGTGATCTTGCTGGCATTACTCCATTCCACCTATAAAGTATTTCCTGGCTGGCTGAAATAGCGTAGCGTGTTATTGCTTTGACATCACACAATTCACACAGATACTGCCCTTAAATATGACTGCATTTACTTTATTCCTTAAGTATATCAAAGATATCATACTTTATATCATCAGACCAACTCAGTCTTTAATTAAAACAAACAAACAAATGAACAATCATAAAACCCCCTCCTAAAAAATATGTAGGGAATAAAGGAATTGTAGGATGAAGTAATGCAGCAAAATCATGTAATCATTGATGACCATCTTTTAGATTAAACAATCCATCAATTTTTCCTCTGAAAATGTTTGCAGAATTTTATTTTCCACTCAATAGGTAAGTGTATTTGCCAAACTCTAGTTTTAATCATGATTTCTTTTCTGCAAAATTTTCATATGGATAGCTCTTTTCTGTCCATCCTGCATATTAAGAGGAAAATAAAGATGCTCCTCCACGGGAATTTATTATCACAGGGCGCTCTGAACTTTACAAGTTTAGTGTATGGGCAATAAACAACTTGCTTTTAATTAGAAATGTGTGAATACTTTTTAAAAAACTGTAAACATTTTTTTTCATTTTTTTTCAATTTTTTTTTTCTTTTACAGTTTGAGGTCTCTTGTTGACTTAATTCTGTAGTTATTTTACTAAATTATTTACCTTGTCTAAGTAACTGCAGAACAGGCAATCTACAAATATGTTTTATAGAATTTTGCCATTTTGTGAAAGTGAGTACTGATTGCATAAATTTATGTTATTGTGTCTCTTGCAAAATCCTAGTTCTCAGGCTTGCAATCATCTTATCAAAATACATCATTCCTTGTTAATCAGGTAAACAGCATGAAATCTGACACCAGATTGATATATCACCTTGGGAGGAGAAAATCCTTTCCTTTGTGTTCTGTAATTACGTTTATGTACCTGGCATGTAGTAATTCTAACCATAAATATTGTCATCTCTACACATAGTGCAGAATTACAAGTTTATGAAGTTAGATAGTGTGTTTCATTATACGTGATAATAATTGGCAAGTACTGTCTTTTTAGTGACAATTTATATATAACCATTTGTTAAAACTAAACATGTTTTTATTGCTATCACACCGTTATTTATTTACTGAAATACTTAGAATCATTTTCATCTTCCACTTTGTGCTTCCTGTGTGGTTTTGCTTCCATGACACTTTTTCTGTGGTGACCATTCCTTTCAGCCATTCTTTGTTGATTACAGCACCACTGTCTCATGTTTAAGTGTGAGTACGTCACACTATTTACATTAAAGGATGTATTCATTGTGGTTAAAAAGAAAAAAATAGAGAGGGGCAGAAAACAGGGAAATGAAAGTGAATAATTTAAAACAAAAAATAAGTTCTTCAAGTATAATTTCTGTCTAGCCATTGCATGTGCAAAAATAACTTGAATGCTTAAGCAACTTGAGCCAGACTTACACAAGTAACTTCAGCGAGAGATCTGAGCACTGGCCTTTTGCAAGGGTTGCATTTGAGAGACGGGGTAATAAATAGGCACAATTAATTGAGTTTAGCAGTAGGATCTACTTCATTATATTTCAGTCACACTTCCCTTTTTGAAGATCATACTGGAATCTTTGAGTAAGGCATAATAATGATTTGCTGTGAAAGGTTTAAGGACTGGTGCCAGAAGTGGCCACAGAATGCTGATTTAAAAGGAGCTGTGTGCTGTAGCAGCCGTTGTGTCATCAGTTGTGCAAGAAAGGAAGAAAGGAGCTTGAAGTATTTCAGCAAGCGGACTATCTGAAAGGCCCCATGAGCTGGGCCACTCTTGTATTCCACTGGGTCTTTGTCAAAGGGTGTGTTTTGTGATGTGACATGGCTCGGTAACGTTTTTTGGTGTATTTGTCAGCCAGGCATTCTATCATTTTCTTAATTTCAGACCTCCCCTCCCCTGGCATGCACTTCCATGGAAACACTTGTTAGTAAGCTCTTTCATGCTTTGTTTTTGCCAGGCTTGTTACAATATTTTCCACTTAGGACTAATTTATTCTTAACACAACAGCACAAATTCATAATGCCTTTTTTTTCCTTCAATCTTCAAAATGCTGTCTAATATACCTCAAACTGCTACTACATTTTTTCTCATCCCTACAACGTTCTGTGCAAAACAGAGGAGATCCTGTTTCTTTTGTCCCAATTCTAGGCATGCTTTTTCTTGTTCAGATTGCTCATCTAACTTAGCTGAAAAGAGTCATGCTTCATATGAGTGTAAACAAACTGACCTCTAAAAAAACCCAAAGCATAATGTGTTCTAAATTTCTGTGTTTCCATTTGGTGGGTGTTTTCATGATTACATTTCACCAATAAGAAATGTTAGCTTTTGAAGTACTTCTGAGGTACTTTTGAGGTATGGGTTTGATAGTTGTTGTTTCTGGGTCTCTTATGGGTGAATTTTCTCCTACAAACTTCATAGAAATAAATTGCTTTAACCTCTCCGTAGAACAAAATCCTCCTTCCACTGATGACAGTAACAGCACTGTAACTGACTTAGTAAAAGCTGACTTGAGTCCTAATAAGGCAGCGTCTGTGGAGATTCCAGCTTTTGTGGCACTGAAAAGCACCACACTCCCAAACAGAAAATATATAATGGCTGTAACTGTAGTAGCATCTATAGCTCTTTAGAATCTGGAAAACAGCATGTTTTCATTGGGAAGTGAAATAAGAAGATTATAAACCTACATGATCAGTTCTTGCTTGAAGCATGCTCAGTAGATTGTGGAAAAAGCATGGAGAGCATACTGGACAAACAAAAGTAACTCTATGGTATCTCAAAAAGTGACCTTTTGTTAAACTGAATGAATACTAAAACTTAGTACTATATCGATGCTGATCACCAATATTAAAGATCTCATTTAAATACCAACATGTGCTAAATACTGTGCAGTTTGCTCTGTGGAAGGAATTAACGCTCTAACATATTCAAGGCTGAGACATCCTGTGGTAACATCCCATATCAATAAGCTTTGTCATTTTATAATCTGAGATTACCAGTTGTGTGTACTGTATGACTGATTAAATGCTATGGGACATCCAGCAAGATGGAGACAAAAGAAGTGATCTTGACTTACGTACAATAGGAATGAAATGCTATGTGAAACAGCTGGAAGAGTATAATTATGCACTAGTTTATTTAAAATATGGTCAGCAACTCAGTTTAGGTACATATAATGGCTGTTTAATAAACTGCCCATGCTTTACTCTGAAGATATAGAATTGGAAGAACGACTGAAAATCAAAAGCCTATGATATCATTACTAGAAAAATGAAAGTGCTAAGGTATTGTAGGTGAATCTTTATTCTTTTCCTGATAATTTTTATATTAGAAGGGTTAAGAAAAGTCCAGAATAGCAGGGAAAATATTTGTAAATTCACTTTGGGATGTAATGGATCTTGTTTATAATGTATATCATAATCATTTTGGGAGTCTATAACAGCAATACAGTGTGAGCTTCTGATCTTAGCTTTGCTCTTTGTGACTTATATTTTGCTTTGCTTATGTAAAACTGCAACAAAATAAATCCAAAACATCATATAGACTTCACATCTGAAAAATAAATATATATTAATCATGATGAAGTCAAGCTGCTGCAGGAATTATTCTAATCAGGTGGCATAAAATGGTGGTAAGAAAAGCAGTGGGCTTTGGACAGTAGGTAAAGAAAAGCTCAGAGGGATTCTGAATTAAAGCTTCTTTCTTCTAGCTCAGGCTGAGAAAAAACATGGACCTGAGGAATTTAAATCAACGCCTAAACCTGAATTGGTGCAAACTCAAAACATACTGGGTAACTGATTTTGCTGCTTTTTACCTTCTTTGTACATTAAATGCTTTTTTCATCTCCAGCAGAATTTTTCTCCTACTTGCTGCATCCCCTTTGTATTGACTCCAGAGGAAGTCCTAATTAAAAATTTCTCGTTCCCTTTGTGTTTCCAGCAATTCACACAAGAAATGTGGAGCAGGATGCATCTAGCTGCAGCTGAACTGTGGCTGTTAGACACGTGATTATTGCTAGCAGATTTGACTGAGTTGTTCAATGTTATTTTTCAAAGTAATGTTTTCTGTCTGTGTGACCTGCATGATTGACATCACATAAAATTTCCATGAGTAAAATTAACCTCAGTGATAGAATTGAAATAATTACCTCCTTGATTTTCTTCTGATGACAGGTTCATTGAAATAGCATCAACAGTGATGCAGAAGGAAAATTTTGTATTGCATGTGACATGATATAATTGTATTTCTCCTGGAGGAAAAAAGAGCTCTACTGTTTATTTCATAGAGCTGTGTTAGAATGAGAGTTTTCTGATCTAAGTAGTAGTGTTAGTTTTGTCATTTGGAGCAGCATCTAATTAACTTCTTGCATTCAGAGTTCTAAATTCTCCCATGTCATTTTTGTTGCTGGTATTTTAAACCCCAAACCATGCAAAATTATGAACACAAATTTAAACTTGAGGTTGTTTTTTGTTTGGTTTTAAACTGTGCTTAGGTTTTTCTAAAGCACAGACGGCATATACAGGATGATATATGATAAAGGAGAGGATCATCAGCTTTTGCATGACTGAAATACAGCTCTTCCCATGAAGAGGACTGCTAATGCTTCTCAATAAACATATTTTTACATAATCCTATTGATTCATGTTAATGTCATACTTTCTCCTGTCTTTTTTCATTTACAGTTGCAGATTTTCACAATCCCCTGAAGCTAAACCTTCAACCTAATTTTCATTCTAACTTTTAATCACTTTTTTTTAAGCATAATCAACCTTGCATGTTTTTTGCCATGCTTTTAAAGATTAAAATATGAAATTAAATCAAAATGTGTCACTGCTTAATTTCAAACTAGGTGGTCATAGTTACTGATGCATGTTCATTATCAAATTCCTTTGATGGACCGTATGATTTGGATTGATGGATATTATGATTAGGGAAAAGGTGACTTCATTCATATTCCACTCACTTTTGTAAGTGACAAAGTTATGCGGGGGTTTTTTTCTAGGTTGGAACTACTTTTTTTCTCTTTTATTAAATGTCATTGATTTCAGGAGTGAGTGGCTTATAAGCCAAAATACAGTTCCATATTGTGTCTTGTAACGTTCTTAATCAAGTAAATCCTTGAATATTTCTTTTATCATAGTTTCTAACGAAATACAGCCACTTCCTTCCGGATCCAGAATCTCTGATGCTTCAAAAACTCCATTGACAGAACTTGGTAATTACTTTCTTTGTAAATTTGAGTAAATTTCAGTAGAAAATTATCTAATTCTTTTGTTGTTACTGGGGCTGGTAGGTTTTAATCCTTCAGCTGCAATAATATCATTCTGTATGTAAAATATGGTAGCCATTAGATTTTTCTTCACAAAATTTGCAAATTTCTTCTTTCTGGTTTAACCCCAGCCAGCAACTAAGCACCACACAGCCACTTCCTCACTCTTCCCTGGTGGGATGAGGGAGAGAATCAGAAGAGTGAAAGTGAGAAAACTCGTGGGTTGAGATAGAGACAATTTAATAGGCAAAGCAAAAGCCGCGCACGCAAGCAAAGCAAAACAAGGAATTCATTCACTGCTTCCCATGGGCAGGCAGGTGTTCAGCCATCTCCAAGAAAGCAGGGCCCCATCACGTGGAACGGTGACTCAGGAAAACAAAATGCCATAACTCTGATGTCCCCCACCTCTCCCTCTTCTTCCCCCAGCTTTATATGCTGAGCATGACGTCATATGGTGTGAGATATCCCCTTGGTCGGCTGGGGCCAGCTGTCCCGGCTGTGTCCCCTCCCAACGTCTTGTGCCCCCCCCAGCCTGCTCGCTGGTGGGGTGGTGTGAGAGGCAGAAAAGGCCTTGACTCTGTGTAAGCCCTGCTCAGCAATAGCGAAAACAACCCTGTGTTATCAACACTGTTTCTAGCACAAACCCCAAACCATAAACCTATACTGGCTATTGTGAAGGAAATTAACTCTACCCAGCCAAAATTAGCACACATTCTAAGTCTGGTTTTGCTTTATTGGCAGGGTGCTCCAGATTAATGCTTCATTTTAAAAACCAAACAAACAAAAACTCATGAGGCTCTATGGGCTAAATTTTATCTATAGAATGATGATGGCAATTTATACTTAGCTGAAATCTCTGCTCTTAGTTTTGTAATTTTCTTGGAAGTACCTCATAAGCTTCTGAGAATACTTCAGAGTTGGAGTACTGTTCCAGCCAACATCAATTCTATTTGTTTTCATGAAGTTTGACAAATACTTGTATATTTGGTTAAAAGAGTGCCATAATTTGTAGGTAATGTTGTGGTTTAAATATTCTTAAGTGTTTGGCTACTTTTGGATTCGTTAGTTGTTTGGTGATGAGCTTCACGACTCTTTGGAAAGGCCTGATGTTTGAGAAAGTATGGCACTGCTCACATTTTCGAAATAGTTTTACCTGTGTTAGGGTCAAAATGTTATGGTCAAAATCTTCTTATGGGCAAAGAGGAAACACACCTTTTCTTTCTTTTTTTTAAAGTTATATTTTTTATATATATACACACAGGCATTTACATATATGTATATACATATATATGTATATGTGTATAGACATATGTATCTACATATATGCATATACATGTATATGTATATAGAGCCAAGAATTTAGTGTTAGTTTAGTGTAATGAAAATCCTAACATTCCAGCTAATGCAAAACTCATCGTTAACCTACATTTAACTCTTACAGTAAAACAAAGAATGTTAATGCAGGTACTTACAGAAAAAGCCTCAATAATAGCAGTAACATAGTTAAAGTAATAATGCACAAACTTTTTAATTTCTACCCTTTTTCCTGGTGTTTTGCTCACCCTTCCACTACACTTCTGGGTCCTAAGCTTGGTGATTTCATGCCTGTGTTGGTCATGAGTGGGGATGTTTCAGCAAGTGACAGAGCATCTGGAGTCCTGTGCTGAGAGGAATATGAAGTTCATGTTGATGATTTCCTCCTCCTCTCTCTTTCTTCTGCTGAGAGACACCTTACATCTACATTTACCATACATGCTGCCATTTGTGTATGTTAGATACTATTTCTGTGTTTTTCTTGTTACCTCTAAAGTAAATTTTTTCTAGCTCCAGATGTGCAGTTTTTATAAGTGACCATCACTGAGCTGTTCATGGCATGGGTTCTCCAGTGCCAAGCCTGGTCCCCATCACTTCTTATCACACGCCTGCACTCCTCTACACCATATCCTGTGTCTCCCATTCTCAAGACATCTACTTTCATAACAGGCCTCTGTTTCTCTGTGCTGTGTCATTGTATTAGTCATAAATATCTCATTCTACCGAAACAACTGCTTGTTGCTGCTACCTATATAAACAGCTATTACACTAGTTAACTGGAGTGACCTTGAATCAGTATGGATTTATACTTCACTAAGCATTAGTCAAGAAGTTATCATACAATAGTGATGGTTTATTTAGATGGCATACTTTTACTTAATGCAGTCTGCCAAATTTTAAAATAATTTCCAGGAACAGGTCTTACTTCTTGAACTGCATATTTGAACCAAATTCTCAAGAACATGAAAATGGTCTTCACAATTTGCTCTTAATTTGCTACAACTTTTGACAGCTCTCTTCCAGATATGTTTGAGGGGGTGGGGATATGTCTTTGTTTTCACTGGAGTGAAAAAAGTTTGGTTAAATCCAGTTAGAGGCAGCATTGGAGAGAGAGACAGACATTCAGTGATTTAAGAACTTATTTGCTATAAATGTAGCTGAAAATCTGAAAATTATTAGGGATGGGAAGTATTTTTCCTTTCTGCTGGGGAATAATAATTTAATCCTATGTTTGTCTCAGTGGTAAAGGTAAAATGATAACAACAGTCAAGGCAAAATACATGTTTCATTCAAGTGTTTATTCTGATTTTGTTCTCATGTCTTCCATTCCTGCCAAATAGTTCCAATTAGCAAAGTGGGATTTAATTACGTGAGGCTGGGCCCAGCCATCAGATCAGCTGGAGCATCTGTGCTCCCCATGAAGTCAAAGATATTTATGAGAGCGAGGTGGGGGTCTTACAGAGGAGATTTCTCTGCCCTGTGCCTCTGCATGCTTTGATCACCTGCTGTCATAAAATCAGCAAAGAAAGCAAAATTTAATTTCTGAAGCTGAAGAGTGTGTGACCTGTATTCTGCCCTAGTTCCCCTAAAGATTTTTTTTCTTTATTTTTCTATCTCAATTGTACCAGAGGGAGACATGTCCTTTGTTTTATAAACTTTCTGTGTGGTCGGTATATTTTGCATTCAGACCTTTCTGAAAAGATAGCTTTGTTAACATGCCTTCAATGTTCTGATGCCTTTGGGAGATCTCTCGTAGTTCTTACTGTATGTAAATGGAACAATGGAAGCTTTTGCCAAAAGCTGTGAATCATACTGCTTTTGTTAGTATTATTTTCTTCTCTATAAATATATACTAGAGTAGTTCCAGTTGGAAGGGACCTACAATGATCATCTGGTCCAACTGCTGAGTCCAACTATATCAGGATGGTAACTTGGGTTCATATTTGTTAATGTGATAAACTGGATTAAAAGTAAATGGGAAAGCAGATCAAATATTTGAAATAGAAGTTTCCTTACTTTTTGACTTATATTCATATTGCCTACATTAAAAATAAATGTTTTTCTCAATCTCAAGCATTCAGAGAAGTCGAATTTTAAAATTCTGGTATAACTGCTTTTAAAAAAACTCATCTTGATAAAGACCAATTAAAAATACAGATGGAAATTTTCTCTTTCAAATATATTATAAACTAAGCGGGCGTAAGTGATTGGTGCAAGTAAGTTTACTGGAAAGAATGGTACTTACTGGCCCGTAGACACGCTTGAATAGGATCTGTTTCTTAGAAGCAGGATAGTAGTGCAAAACCTACACATGGTGGAAACTTGTTCGTAATGGCCTTTAGGCAAGAATGCCCAATTCTACCTTGATTCCCTGTTTTTATTAAAGCAGACTTCAGGTTACCCATACTTCAAGGTGAAATAACTGTAAGATCTTTGTAATAGTCTTAATTACAGCATAACAGATAAAGGGTGCTGTTTACAAACTTCCATGATAGTGAAATATTCAGTGAAGTATCACTGACTTCATTGTACTACTCTTTTTTTATCTTTTCCCATTATGTCTCCTCTTAAAATAGTTATACATGATGTAATAGTAAACAATTTATACAGACCTGCGAGTGCTGTGAAGATCAAATATATTGTGTTTGGGTTGTAGCTGCTTTGCTGTGAAGAAAAACCTCTTAAGTAATATGGATTCAGCCTGATTATCTTAGGTAGTGTATGCCAAAGTTTGAATGGGGTAAAAATTAATTGAGAAGAGAGACCTTCAAAGCAAACAAAACTTGCTAGTTACAGTTAAAATTAGATTTTGTACCACTTGTGAGGAGAGTGTCTGTCTCAGTATCATAAATCTTTTTTTTCATGTTTGCTCTTAGCTACTCAGAGTCCAGCCTTGAAATCTGTATCTCTACCTCCTGCAGAAACCGAAGAGACAGAGATGGGTAATCAGCAGATTATTTCCATGGTTTTTTTCTATTATCTTAGCATCACATAGATCTGCAAATGGTAATTTTAGGATCTGCTTTATAGTCTTGGCTACCAACACTCACAGAGAGCTGCTTATTCACCGTTCTTATGTCTCTGTAACCAGCTGAAAAACATACTTCTTTTACTGGCTTAAAAACTGCTTAAAGACAGCATTGTCATACCTCATCATTAGCTTATTTCTTTTTATATAGCTGCAGCTTCTATCCCAGAAAAATGTAATAAGATAAAATTCCTTGCTGATAAGAATTCTTTCAGGCATGTGGAACTCAAATTTCAAGGCCAGAAGACCGTATTGCAAGCCATCATCTCCTGTTGTAATGACACAGTTCTCTCATGTCTCACTTTCAGGCCATCTGCCATCTTGCTTAGCTTTGCGTTAGCATCGTCTGGAATCGCACAGCCTTCACTAAGCTATTTGATGCTAATCCATTAAGTGACAGGTCTCTCAGCATTTTAAGCTCAGATTCTTTTTTCAGCTTTTGAAGAAACACAGCCTGTTTCTTCAGGATCCAAAACATCTGGTACCACAGAAGTGCAACCAACCAGATCTGGTAATGATATCTCATAAGATTAATCTTCTTGACAGTTAGGAATTTTCAGAGACATAGTGCGTCTCATTAAATAGTTTGTTCAGTTTGACATAAATGAAGAATAACAGCGGGTATGAAAGTGCTGTATCAAATAGCAGGTTTCTTTATGACATTTTATATGAAATATTGAACTTGTAGTTTGGAGGTTTTTCCGTATTTGGCTACAGCATGTAATTCTCAGCTTTAAGATTAAACTGGGCTTAAAGTAAATACTAAATTTAAATAGGTCTGTCCACACCTGAGTTTTGTAAGTGGAATATCCTTATTTACTGAGTACTCAGTCCTCAGAAATGAATGGAAATTTCAGAAATTCCAACACCTTTTGAAAACGTGGTTCTTCTTTTAGTCTTTTTGTATTAACATAGACATACTTCTAAGTGCCCAGACTTCAAAACCGGCACTACAAAAACACGTCATTGAAGATTCAGGCACTGGCTAGTTGGTCCTTAGAATATGTCTATGATGTGGGTGTTTTTGGTTTTTTTTAATAGACGAGTTTGTAAGAGCTTGTTCTTTACCTGGGGCCACTGACAGTTATCCAAAAGAAGAAAAAAAATAATAAGATGAGAGCCAGTTGGAAAGATTTCACTTTATTAGCATGCCAGTAGTGTAATGCCTGATGCATATGTTTTTGGAAGAAATTAATTTTTTAAGTAAATCCATTAGTAAAGGGGAGATTGATTGCAACTCTCAGCCGTTCACATTTCTGACAAAAGACAGTTTATATGTTTCATTTGGTACCGTTCCTACTTTGTCATCCTTTTTCCTTCTCCAGTTTCAGTACCTTCTTGATCCTTAGTATTCTAGGCAAAAATTCCATGCAGTCGCAATTTTATTCATAATTTGTTCTCCTTTTTTGAGCGGCCTTGTATTTCTCCTTTTTAACTCTATAGTTCAACTTCTTTTTGTGTGATTCTGCAAACAATTTGGTCATTAGTTGCATTATGTATCTGTGCATTAATGCATAATTTTGGAAATGGTAGTACATTTCAGAGTCTACCTTTTTGTGGAACATAATGTGTTAAATACTACCTAGAACTTTCCGCAGCTCATAAAAGAATATGATGCTATTGCACGATGGTTCTTGTCACTTCAAAACAATACAGCATGATTTTTGTTTTTATTTTCCAGCTTCACAAGACTTCCTTCATGTTACTCCTTCTTCCCAAATTTTTACAGATTCAGAAATACCAGACACTGGTAAATTATAGTAATATTATTTCAGAAGCATATGCTTTTGTTTGGTTTGTTTGTCTGCTGAGTCCTGTGCTATCCATAGTAGCTCTAAGGCAATTAAGCCTTTTAACACAAGATTATCTTTTCAGATTTAGGTGAAAGGAGGCCTCCTTCTTCAAGTTCCACAACATCTGGCATGCCAGAAATGCCACCAATCTCAGCTGGTAATGATAACCCTCCATTGTAGTTCTTCTGATATCTAGGCAGTCTCTCAAAAAACACAGCAAAGCTTTGCTAAACAGAGCGTTTATTCTGACTTGCTGTGTATGAAAGTCTAACAGGAGACAGAGAGACCAGTGGTATCATCTGCTGCAATGTTTGAGAAGTTTGCAATGAAATGAATGATAAAATTAAGTTTTCCTATGTTTGTAAATGACTAGCTAGATTTTCCTGTGGAGTTGTTGTCCATCTTTTTGTGAAGGATTGTATATATATGGAGGCTCGTTATTGGGAATGGTTATATAAGTGCTAACATGTCAAATTTGGTCCTTTTGTACATTGGATGCAAAAGCTTCTTCATAGGCAGAAAAAACTTTAGCTGCTGTTCTTAAGAATACTCCATGAGTTTTTAACCATGGGAAAATGCCAGTTACTGATTTGCTTAGCGAAGTATTGAATATTGCTAGAAAAGGTTCACATAGAAGGGAAAATCAAAAACTCCCAGATAAATCACTAGGCACCATTTCCTCATTACCACCAACTTCATGCATTTTGAAAAGTATCACCAACAGTCTTGCTTCCCTTACGTCTGGAGTCAAGCCCACGGTATAGCAAAGACTCGCAGTGCAAATGAGTACACATAGACTAGATTTTACACTGGTTTATGTATTAGGTTGTGCATTTTCAATGTGCAAAATTAGGATAAGAGCGTATGAGGAAGTCACTTTAGTGAAGTTACTTGTTTTTCAGTGTAAAATGGGATGATGGACTGTAGAAACGTAAGTGGTTGAAAGATGTGCTAGAATTCTGCAAGGAAATTGCCTTTGGTCACTTGTTTGCAGGCATTTCTGTACAGAGTCACTGCGCTTTATTAGGGCCAGGGCCTGAGATTTCTGACTGCTAGAATGAAGGATTTGGTTGATTCTAGGGAAAAGTGAGATCAGATGTTGAATTCTGAATCCAGAGGTGTGTCTCCTGGCTCCTATGTTTGCTCTGCAGAGACTGTTGGCATCTTTCAAGGAAATGTAAGGAGTGCTTTGGTGAAGTAGTCATTTAGCCATTTTTCTGCTGATGGAGAGCCATTTAGCTACTATTGTGTTAGTTGCAACCGCAGCAAGATGGTTGTCTGCTGATTTGGTCACTGAGTCAGGACATACTGCCAGGAGAAGGGCCCTAAATACAGACCTTTGGGGTGTTGTGAACCGGTGCTGCTTGTATTTGCTGTGGCAAGACTGTGTGGATATCTCAAGATCATTTCTGTGTCTGACTGTAGCAAGCCAGAGACCGGACCTGGAATCCACCTCGTCTGCTTCACTGGAAACCACAAGGACTGTGATGGGTAAATAGCCAGTCATTCCCTTCCTATGTTGGTTACTTTGGCAGTGCTTTTCTCTGCAGCGATGAGCCTGTTTGGATGTTTTCATGTCCTGGAAAGTGGGTCCACGATGCAGTTGCTGTCCCTTATGGCTCCTTATTAGACATTGCTCCATTTGAAGGCTTTCTGCTGCCTTTGTTGGGGTTCCACTTCTAGGCTTACTCTGCTACCTTGGGCTACCTCTGCCAGTTGAAAGATAGCATCATGCTGCTACGGGGAGTGATGCTGTGACATGGTAGCCTGCCCCAAGCAGGGCCACATCTCCTTGTTTATAGCTCTGTCCTGACACCACCCAAGCGACAGCAGCCCGCCTGCAGACCTGAAGGTCGTTTTTCTGTTTGATCTTAGCTACTCGAAGACCAAGGCGGAAGTCCACCACTCCTCCTTCCCTGTCGACCCAGCAAACCGTGATGGGTAACTAGCAACAAAATCTTCTTTTTTCATTTTCTCCTCTCACTCCACGTCACGCCTCCCACCCCAAACCTCCTGGCCTCCTTGTCATCTTCCACAGAGAGTGTATGAAGACTCGTTGGTGCAGCTCAGCTTGCCAAAACGCTCGCCACACTTGCAGTTCTGTTGTATGATCCCATGCTTTTTCCATTGCTGATGAGCATTTTCTGTGGGGGCTGAATGACATCTTGCATAGAGAACATGCCTTGCCTTCAGCTGCGATTCCCCTGCTTCTCTGTGGTTTGGTAGTGGGTCTTCCTTCCAAGTGGAGATGCTCTTTAGAGAGTTCACACTGGCAGGTGTACAAGACTGGTCCTGTGGCCTGGCAGGCTTTTTTGTAGATAACAAAGCAGTGCATGAGCAGGGTGGCAAGCCTAAAGACCTGAAGTCGAGTGCAAGTTAAAAGTGTGCTGAAACATATTAAGTGTCTTGCCATGTTATTGCAGCACTTTTGTCTGTAACAGTCTTGCTCTCATATCAGCTGAGATTTATCATGCGCTTCAGGGTCTTCTCCAGGGAAGTTACATTTCTTGCTTTACTTAAAGGATTTAGCTTTCTTGTTTTTACAGTGGAGAAATCAGATACTTGTAACTATAACAAAATACATAAATTTGGCTGGCCTAAGGATATTTCTTTCTCTCACCTTGTCTAGTGATGTTGTATGGATAACTTTTTACATTCCTTTATTTTTGCCAATTTTTTTAATTGGATTTTTTTCAGTATCATCATTTTGTAAACTTGCTTTCTCTTTGCCTCCCTTTGCCCAGTGTTCTTTGGCTTTTTCAGTCTTACATTCCTACTAAATTCATGGGAATTTTATTCCATTCTATGTGTGACATTCCATTTCATTTTTTGCATCATATTTATGTGGTTTTACACATCCTTACATATTAACCTCTTTCTTTTTTAAATTTTGCTTATTGTGCAGAATATATTTTTATGTTTCTTCAGTTCCTTATTTTTCAGACACTAAACAATCAAGTCCATGGTTGCAGATGATGCCATGGTGTGATGGTTCATATATCTTTTAAATAATAAGCGATAATTTTTTTCCAGCCTCACATGATTTTCTTCATGTTACTTCCACTCCCCAAACATCTACATCTGCAAAAATGTCAGAGCAAGAGACTGGTAAATGGCATTTGTTTTATTTCCAATTCTTTATTTTTCTTGATATTTAAGTAGTACTATTCTAATGCTTGTTATTTGTCCTGGCATTTTAATGTTGCCTACAGTGGTCTTTGTTCATTAAGGCTCCATGTTACTTGTAATAATTGCCAATATCCAACAGTTCTAGCCTCAAGTAAGTGATCTTGCTATGATCTGAGTAGTATCATATTTATTGAAGGATTGTGGGGGGTGGAGTGGGGCAGAATTTAGCAGATGAGAAGAAATTGTCGAGCTTTGATGGTTTGGGTTGTCGGTGTAACACTTATCCTTTGGGGAAGGAATGTTCTGTCTTTTGCTAGCAGGCACTTTTTAGATAGATTTGTTGGTTGAACATTTGTTTCCTCTTATAACTTTTTTATGTAGTCTCATATTCAAAAGACTGATGCAATACAGTATTTTAGTATTAAAAATTATTTTTATGGTTATTTCTGCTAATAATTTATTATTTCTCCCCATGTATTTATGGAGAACATAGTTTTTAGGCAGAATATGTGCATTTGTATTTGAGCATGAGATTTTTCCCAGAATGTGGTCATAAAAAAAAGTAGAGGGTTGATGTGAGGTTTTCCTCTGTGTTTCTCTTCATGCTAGGGTGATCTAAACAAGTGATATTTTATTGCATCATTGTGTCAAACATTCCCTTTCTGGGGACCAACTTTAAAATCAGTTGTCTTGATTCTGCATTATACTATGCTGAGACGACAAAGCGAGCACATACAAAGTTGGCTTCTGGGTGAAAAATTAGTTGAAGCTACTTCTTCATCTCCTCTTGGCATGCTTGCAAGTGGTGTTCAGTGTTGTAAGGGTGATGAGCATTAATCTTTTTGAATGCACTTCCATAAGTTCTGCACAGTGCTTGTGTGTCAAAGGTGCATATCTTATCACCTGATTGAAATATCTTTCTTTGTAGAATTGTTGAACACACACAGATTGCATGGAAACATAGGACTGTAGACGCTACACATCTTCTAAATGTGCAGTCACAATATTAGGAGTCTCAAGATGGATTTGGTCTTTAATTTTAAGTGCACAAATTCAAAATTGCTGAATGGTATAAACTGTAAAATACTTCAAGAATAGTAAGGCTGTTTCTCTGATCAGGATTTTTAAAGTAGAATATAAATCTCAAATGATGTAAAATTAATTCAGGCCTGGAGTTTCCACTCATCTGCATTTTTGTACTCTTATTTTGTTGATGTAGAATTAGTAGAATAGGTGGCTGAAGTGCTCTGAAATCAGTTTGGTTCGTTATCCACTGTGTGCAGGGATGAGTAGCTGCCCAAGATACAAAGCAGTGGTGTATTAGACCGTGAAGTCTTTCGTGTGAACCAGCTGTGTATTTTCTTGGTGCTTTCAAGTTATACATTCCAGCTGAGTGCTGTTGATTTTTCATTTTAATAATTCTAAAACTTACTAAATGGACAGCTTCTTCCATTTGTTCCTGTATTGGTTAAGTGCGACCTAGTAAGCATAGCTACAGAAAAAGTCAATTTCTTAGCAATGTACTTGTGAGAGGCAATGTGATCTAAAATCCTAACACAAAAAATTACATATTTCTGTATTACAGTAACTATCCAAGAACCTTTCAAACCTGTTACATCTGACAACAGTGAAGTGGAATTGGATGAATGATCACTAACAGTTTTTGTCATCTGGAGATTAGCTTATTACAACACATATACACTATTCATGTTTTCCCTAGTGTTATTCGTTAAACTTTGGTCAGTGTTCTCTTATTTTCTCATCACAGATAAATTTAGAAAAGTCTTAGCTCTTATCTATTACCGAATTCACACTGAACACAAATATGATGCAGCTGTGTTAATACTCCGTGGGCGGTAATGACAGTTATCCCACGTGAATGCAGTATTTTTGTTTCCTTTTCAAGTTGAGAACTCTTATTTTATCCAAGGTCATTTCAGTCAAATCGAGCTATCTTCATTAGATGGAAAACTTTTAGCAGCTAGTCAGGTGTGACTTTACTGCTCTCTGCAGCATGTTCTCTCAGAACTACCATGACATTCTCTCTTGATGTAAAGAATCAGGCTACTTAGATTTCTTGTTACATGTCCTTCGACTTTAATTAGTCATGAGTGTTCTTAACATCAAGAGCACCTACTCTTCAGTTTTTCATATACCACTGCCCATAGAAATAAACCACATTTCTTTCATGCCAGCTGAGTAATTTTTCTAATAGAAACAGTAGTCCTAGTGATCTGATAGATTCTGATTTTTTTTTGTCATTGTGTTTTCATTAAAATATTGTCATAAAAACATAAAGATGTTTTTAAGCCATTTTCCACCGAAGGTTGGTCTTTCTCAATAATCCTCTATATATCAAAGTAATTTTGTGGCTGTTGTGGGGAAAATCCAGTCCCTGGGCAAAATATGAATATGTTGACAGGAACGTGTTTTGATACCACCTGTGTGAAGACTGTCTTCCTCAGTATCTCAAGACTTTTTTTGGTTTGTTAGCTGGTTTGGTAGCTTCCCAGAGACCACCTTTGATCAACATCTCTTTTTTACCTCGTAACCAGATGTATAGTAATAGGTAAATAGCACATGCATTAGAGTTTCCACTTTCTAATCACTGCCCTGGACCATAGTAAGATCAGAAGGCATCTTTCAACAAAATGTGTGTCTCAGGTTTCTTGTTCAATATTTTCATGTCAACTATTTATTTTTATTGGCAAGTAGAAAGCATTCTGCTCAGACTGAATAACTGAGGAACATACTCATATATTACTGCAAGCAGATTTATGTAGATTAACTTCTTAATTCGAACTTTTCTTTACCTACGCTCTTCGAAAGGACACAAATTCTGTGTCTTAGAAATGTAATAGATATGAGAATACCACTCTGATTGAACTCATGTTGTATCCATCCCATAGGAGACATCAGCTTTGTTGTTCCTCTGTCAGTCATCCTACAACTGACTCTCAGGCCATTCCCTGTCTTCATTTTTACTCTTATCATCATTTCCTTTCACAGAACAGCTTCTGCCAGCTAGGCACTGTGGTATTTTAGTAGCTTTGATGCCACTGCAACTTTTAAAACTCAGATTCTCTTTTCAGCTTCTGATGAAACACAGCCCATTTCTTCAAGATCCACAATATTTTCTATTCCAGGAAT